TTACTTGGGAAAAATAATTTAAAAATTAAATAAATTTCAAACTCAAAAAATTATAAATAAATGAATAAGAGAGTATATTTTCTTGCAAGAGCTTATTCTTACAGACCAACACTTTCGCAAAAGAGGGCCTCCAATTAACCTAGCAATTTTAATAAAGGACTTTAAAGAACAAATAAGCTTTTAAATTACTTCCTGTGGAAGATGTTTCTGACAACTTGAAATTCATTGCTGAGTCTGTGTAAGCACTGGACCTATATGGTCACATAAAATAACTACTTCTTTTAACCTATCTCATTACTCTCTATATCATTATTATGTGTGTAGACTATAAGCTCTAGAAGGAAAAGAGAAGTACCTTGTTTACTACTTTTACTCACTGCCTTGCAGCTAACAGATACTCAATGAGTATATCAACTAAATTATAAGAAAATAACTATGGATATGCCAAAGATTTAGCCACAATTTGTCAATCAGATATGAAAAACTGGAAATAGCCAGTAATCAAGATAAAAATTAAGCTGAATGGCATTAAATGTCACAGAAAGATGTTTACAAGCCATTATATGAAAAAAGTAGCTACCTATCATATATTACTCAATTTTTTATAAAAAGTTCATGGAAAAATTCCATTACCTTTTCATTTAAATTTTCCATAAGCTTTCTGAAACTCTCTCATAGTTGTTCGAGTGAGATATAGACACTTATTAAGATGAAACATATAATCTGAACATTCAACTTCATTTTCAACAAAGGTATTCGTATCTCTAAAATTCTAACTGTTTCCTAAGAATCAGAAGATTCTAATCCTGGTCCCACGTTAACTTATCTTTGGTTACAAAATGAATGTCCTTGGGAACTTTTTTTTTTTTTTTGGTCTAAAATATAGAAGGTGCATCAGAAAACACTAATATTTGCATTTCCTATCCAATTTATTATTTTATAATTTCTAAGTCTAGAGAACTAACTTGATTTCCTTTTGAATTTCCAAGTCTTCTTTGACATTAAAAGCTAACTATGAAAGAAACAAGAGAATATGGCAAAAAAAAAAAAAAAAAAGTAAATGCAATTTAAATAATAATAAAGTTCAATTTGTTTGCTGTTCATTTAATACCTACATTAACTGAGTTTTCAGTTTTGGACCATTTTGTTACAGTACCTATGCCAGTGTACAAAAGGGAAATGCATTAAAACAAGTCCAATAGTTGAGGCTCGAGAATAATGGTTTTTTAAGTCATGCTAAGGATTTCAGATTTTATTTTGAAAGCTATGGAAAGTCACAGAAATATTTTAAGAGAGAAAAATATATAAATACCTTTGTTAAAAAATGAACATTCTGATGGGAAAAAGAAAAAAAGAAAGCTCAGGCAGCACTGAGATTTGAATGAAGGAGAGAAATGTATGGAAATGAAGATAGATTAAAAGCTATTATTCCATAAAAACTACAAAACAAAAAAAACAGGTATGGCCATTAAGAACTATGAATTAAAGCAGCTTCATCTATAAGAATAAAATTAAAGCAAATCTCATAATCTGAGTTTTAGTTTTACTAATGAACTACCAGAGGTCCTGGTGTAACTCTGTGGATAAGCACTGGATTGCTAATCACTAAATCAGCAGTTCAAATCTACCAGCCACTCCAAAGTAGAAAGATGATGCTGTAGGCTCCTGTGAAGATTACAAACTTGGAAACCCTACAGTGTTGCTATGAGTCAGAACTGACTCAGTGATAGTGAGCCAATGAGAGACTATGAGGCTGACATACCAGAGAGTTTACTTAGACCTTAAGACAAATCGAATTTAATTTCCTCATTTATAAAATATAGATTACTGTTGTTTGTTGTTAAGTGCTGTCGAGTCAGATCTGACTTACAGTGATCCAACATGTTGTTGTTGTTGTTAAGTGCTGTGGAGTCGGTTCCGATTCATAGCAACCCTGTACAGGGTTTCCAAGGCTGTAAATCTTTACGGGAGCAGAAAGCCTCATCTTTCTCCCGCAGAACAGCTGGTAGTTTCGAACTGCTGACCTTGTGGTCCGCAGACCGATTAATAACCACTATGCTACCAGAGCTGGTTTTTCCAAAGAGCAGCTAGTGGATCTGAACCATCGACCTTGTGGTTAGCAGGTCAATGCTTACCCTACAGTGCTACACCAGGAGTCCAAAACATAGGTTGTTGTTGTTATTGTTAAGTACCATTCAAGTAGGTTCTGACTCATAGAGACCCTGTATAGGGTTTCTGAGGAGCAGCTGGTGAACTTGAACAGCTGACCTTGCAATTCAAACAGACCTTGCAGTCTAGCGCATTAACCCACAGAATCATACCAGGACTCCGGTTATGGTTATATAAAATGATCACTGAAGTACAGGCTCTAACAACCTCTACCATGGTAGTTTTAGTATTCTTCTCCAACACCCTAACTGAGCTGCATCAATTCTTCTACAGTCTTCACAATTCATTATCCAACTTTCACATGCATATAAGGCTACTGAAAATACCATGGCTTCAGTCAGACACACCTAGTCTTCAAACTGACATCTTTGCACTTGAACATCTTTAAGAGGTGTTGTGCAACACATCTGCCGATTGTAATACATTGTTTAATGATTTCTTGACTATAGCTTCCATGATCCACACAGTACAAAGTCTCTGCAGAGTCAATAAAGCACAAGTATTCTCTGCTTTCAGCTAAGATACATCTGATGTCAGTAATAATATCTCTCGTACCATGTTCTCACCTGAATGTGGGGTGAACCTCTGATGGTTCCCTGATATCATATGCTACAGTTGTTTTTAAATGCTCTTTAGCAAAATTTTACTTGCATGTGATTATTAATAATATTGTCTGAGGATTTCTGCATTCCGTTGGGTCACCTCTCTTTGCTATGAACACAAATATGGATCTCTTCCAATCAGTTGACAAGGAGCTGTCTTCCAAATTTCTTAGCATGGTGAGTGCCTCAAATGCTTAATCAGTTTGTTGAAAGATTTCAATTAGTATTACATCAATTCATGGAGCCTTGTTATTTATCAATGCCTACACTGTACCTTGGACATCTTCCTTCAGTACCACTGGTTCTTGACCATATGTGTAACAGTTAAGGTTTTCTGTCAACTTGACTAAGCCAAACACATAAACCTTTTAAAACACTCAATTTCAATCCTTTCTTCTCCCTTGGGTTAATCCCGTTCATATTCATGTAACCTTCTTGGGCATCCGGTAGGGTGAATTCCGGTAGACCCTGGCCCCTTGTCATCCATCCTGTTTAACCAGCCTAACATGGATCCAGACAACTCCAGACGCTGCCACTCTCCCCTTCGCTT